GGTGATTTATTTTCATTCACGGTAAAAAAAGGTACTTTGTACAACCACGCTTTAAATTACACAACACGCTCTTCTGTATTTTTTTCTGCTCGAATCCTCACCCGCCTCGTTTTCATGTACTCGTACCGAGGCTTACCCGAGCCATCCGCCATTATGAATTCGGTGTATGACTTGTCCCGGAGCTGGGATAAGGTAGACCTTGAGCTATGGACAGTGACTTTTGCAGGCCTCGCTAAGCCCAACTGCAATGTTTGCTTGAGTCCCTATCACGCTGAGGATGTCTGTCCTTCTGCTGACCTTAACAGATAATCTCGCCGCCCCCAGTCTGTGCTTCGACTTCAACAAGTCCTCTGGCTGCCGGCGCCGAAATTGCAGCTTCCCCCACGAGTGCCGCCGCTGCTATTGCAGCACCCGCCCCGCCCCGGAATGCACCCAGCCACAGCCCAGCAGCGCCAACAAGGCCCCAAGACCTAGCGACCGCAGCAAGAAGTAAAGTGGAGCAGCAACGGCTTTATCACAAGCCTTAAGTATCCTCACCTATTGACATTTATCGTTTAGAGTTAGAATTAGCCACTCATCCTAATAGAAACTTTGTATACAATCTGCTTAGTACGCTCAAGGAAGGCCCTCACATCGGCTATACAGGGCCGTGTTCAGACCGGGTCTCCAAACCTCATTTCGGCAGCACAGCACCCTGAAGTCGTTTCTTTGAATTTGCAGAAGGAAATAGCCCTGGGAAGGGTAGCAGGTCCCTACCCCTCCCCCCCGTTACCTAAGTTTCAATGTCATCCGGTAGGCGTTATCCCCAAAAAGCACTCACCTGAATGGCGCACTATTTACCATCTCTCCTTCCCCCAGGGTACTAGCATTAACGACGACATTCCTAAAGATCCCTACTCTCTAAGTTATGTACGGGTTGGCGATGCCATCCGTATCCTCCAGTTCCTGGGAAGGGGAGCTTTTATGGCCAAGACTGATCTCAAATCAGCCTTTCGTCTGATACCTATTCATCCGGACGACTGGAACTTACAAGGCATTTATTGGCAATCCCAATACTATGTAGACATGTACCTACCCTTTGGGTTCCGTTCGGCCCTGTTCCTCTTTAATCAGTTATCCAACGGCCTCGAGTGGATCCTTAAAAATAACTATGGCATCCAGCATGTTATTGACATCTTGGACGATTTCTTTATTGCCGAGCGAAACAGATTAGACTGTTTAACCAGCTTTAGTACTCTGTTAAGGGTATTCATGTCACTTAAGGCCCGGTAGTCGCTTCCAAGACGATAGGCCCCTCCCGGAGATTGAGTTTATGGGTATTATCTTAGACAGCGTCCGCATGGAGGGCCGCTTGCCCCAGGACAAACTCATCAGGATCAATCAGCTGCTCGACTCCTTCAAAAATCGTTGGTCAGTGCGCCTGGTCGAGTTACAGTCACTGATCGGGACTCTTCAGTTTGCATGTAAAGTAGTGGTGCCTGATAGGACCTTTCTACAGCGAGCGATTAATTTGACCAGGGGGTCCCCAGTCGTTTTCACCACATTAGGCTGAAAAAGGGAATTCTTTAAGGACCTAGCCATGTGGAAAATTTTTCTCTCCAAATGGAATGGGTGCTCCTTTTTTGTCGAGTCTACTCCTACCCCTGCTCAAAATCTCGAGCTCTACACCAACGCTGTGGGCTCTATAGGTTTTGGGGGATACTTCCAGGGCAAGTGGCTTCAGGGCCATTGGCCCCCGAACACGCAGTTGAACCAACAACAGGGAATTAGTATTGAATGGCAGGAGCTCTTTCCCATCGTTGTTGCCTGCGCCATATGGCACCCTCTCCTTGCCAGAAAACGCCTTCAATTCTGGTGCGATAATTTATCTGTGGTATCTATCATAAATTCAGGGCATTCTAAGATCCCCCGCATTATGGATTTGGTTAGACGTCTCGTGCTTCTTTCCATGCAGCACAACTTCGTAGTGCGAGCTCGTCACGTGCCTGGGGTTTCAAACGCAATTGCTGAGGCACTCTCCCGATTTCAGATGCAGCGCTTCCGGGTCCTTGCCCCCAACGCTGACCAGAATCCTTGTACCATCCCGCCTTCGCTCATGACCCTCTGAGGGAGGAAGTCCTGCGGTACGCTACCTGGGGTCTTGCTGAGAACACAAATCGGGCCTACAACTCTGGGTAAAAACGGTTTTTACAATATTACCTTATGAATCGTATCTTCAGCTCAGATGGGGATGTGTTACCTGCCTCTGAAGGGACCCTTATATACTTTGCTTCCTACCTAGCAAGAACAGTATGGCATAGTACTATTAAACTCTATTTAGCCGCCGTTCACAACCTTCACATGACAGCCGGGTACCCTGATCCCCTTAAAGGTAAGCTCCTTCTCCGCAAGGTTTTGTCCGGCATTCTTCGCTATCAGGGCAACCAGGGCAACCAGCGCGCCCGTCGCCTACCTGTAACCCCTGAGGTTCTTCTTGCAATTTGTCCTGTCTTGCAAACATGGCTTAGTCCCCGGGATTTTTCTTTGATCTGGGCCGCCTTCAACTTGGCCTTTTTCGCTTTCCTACACTGTAGCGAATTTACCTACAGCGGGGTTCGCAAATTTCGCCAACAATTCGATCTTTCTACCGATTGCATAATGTTTCACCCCAGCCTGGCGTGCCCGCAGCGCATAACAGTATATCTAAAATCGTCTAAGACAGACATTGCTAGGGAAGGTCAGTCACTCACTATAGCTCGCACCTCGACACCCCTTTGCGCCGTTGCAGCTATGCAAGAGTATTTTCTCTTAGTTAGGCCTCGGCATGGACCTTTGTTTTACTTCGCATCAGGTCGTTACCTCACTCGGGGCATCGTATCCGACCTCCTTAGGGATAGTGCTAGGGTGGCTGGCCTCCCTTATCAAAGCCTAAAAGGGCATAGCTTTCGCATCGGAGCGGCCTCCGTTGTAGCCGCCGCCGGCTTGCCAGATTGCCTTATAAAAGTTCTTGGTCGCTGGTCCTCGGACTGTTACCAGCTGTATATCAGAACTCCTCAATCGACATTAGAGTCTGTGGCTCCCAAGATGGCTATTGTTCCTGGACGCTTCCAGCCAATATAGCCTCCGTTTTTTCTACTTGTTTATTCGTTTTCTCTTTGGGCTTGGGGGGATGCATTGCCTCGCATGCATCAGTGGTGGTGAAGTCTGCGCAGCGACTTCCCCCAAGCTTGTTGGCCGCGTTGCCGTTTAATATCACCTGCAAACCGATACTCTTGTCCGATCCAGCACGTGTTGTATTGCTTTCAGCTCGTAGTGCTGGGGAGATAAGTGAGGTTCTTTGCTCACGCCATCACCGGAAGTCGCATTAGGCTAACCTAGCGCAAGGCAGTGCTCCCCCATTAATGCCAACTTGTCATTATTTGTTTTTATAATTTAGTTATGCATTTAACATGCATCGACCAGTATCTTGAGTAGTCCTACAACATTAAATACCTAGGATTAGTTATTGATTGATTTTTGTCTTAACTGACCATATTGACCATATCAGTAGAAAAATAGCAAAAGGGTAAATATCATCACAAAACTGAACCGACATGTAACAACCCAATCGTTTTAAAAGTATCTATTATGCACTTGTTTACCCCTATTTAAACTACAGTGACATTCTGTGGGGTAATAATTATGAAGCTCCATTATCACAATTGGCAAAGCTACAAAACAAAGTTTTTAGAGTTATCAATAACGTCCCACTTTGTGATTTTATTACTCCTCATTATTTAACCTTTGGCCTAATTACGCTCTATGACATTGTTAAGCTAAATACCTGCCAACTGTTTTATGATTATTTTGTTGATACAAAGGTGTCTAATTTCACGCTGGCCTTGGTGTCTGAGCAACATAATTATGACACCAGAACTGCATCTTTGCGGCACTTAAATCCCAGAAGCTTTAGAATAAATATAAGAAAATTCATGAAGTGAGTATCATGGCGGCGTGACATGATTGTTTGATGTCCATTTGAATTGAAATCTACAATCTGCAATTATGCCTTCCAACCATCTAAGTATACATGACTTACGAAAATCATAGAATGACGAGTTATTTATACCAAGCATAAGACATTAGAAATTAAGGCAGAGATCCTAGCACTGAAATTAAGCATCAACGCTCTGACTCTACGATGGGATGCTTTGGAAAAACCACAGGATTTTATCTCGATGAAATATGATACACTTATTGAAACCATACAACAATCCAATGTATAACAGCTTCTACAAGCAATACACACTGTACCTATTAAATACCCAATGAATAATTTAAATTTCTCTGCCCTAACTATCAATTATCATTTCCACTGTTTTTTATATAAAATTGTAAGTACAACTTAATGCAGTTTTAATTTTCCTGTCTCCATTATACGCTAATTAAATGTGTACGCCAGTTGCACGTGCCAGTGACCAACTCAAACGCCTAAGCTCCTTTGCTCACTGCGTGCATTCCACCTTGATGATTTATGTAATTTTATGTTGTCTTGTGATGTACTGGAATTTTTTTTGTAGTGAACTATTGAAATAGTGCAACAAATAAAAAGGCTGAGATCTGAAAATCTATCCAACAGTTATAAGATGTTACTAGTGGAATGATATTCCGTTATCTATAGGGAAAAAGACAACTAGAAAATTGTTGAAAAGAGTACTATATTACTATTACCTTGCTCAGTATTAATCATCGCCACACCAACCCTCAAATGTTATATATGAATTTTTTTGTGTACTTTCCATTTTCCTCTCTCTAATGTATTTCATAGTTTATATCCTTGTCTCTATTTCTTTTCTATCCTAAATAAATCTGTAATTTAATCAAAGGGCATGTAATTAGTTTCACTACATTTTACCCTTCTCCATTTATTCTTGTAATCCGATATTTAAATCTTAAGAATAATATCTTCCAATCTGTAATATGATGTAAATGGAATGTACCTAAAATAAATGGAGGAAATAGATAAAACACAAAAAACACAAATAAGACAACACGAGTACGTGCGAATCGTTGCCATGGCCATTTTCCTAATATCCTACTAGAAAATATGCTCTACAGATATATGGAACTGGTACTAACAGAAGCAAGAGTTGGCCTGAAAAAGAGAAAGGTGATGCAAAGGAAGATTTGTAAAAACGGGCACTGATTGCTTAGCTGCTCAGAGGAGGAACTTGCTGAGAGGAGTCTATCATCAGCCTATGTTTCTGTGACCGAGTCTACAGTCCGCTCAAAGGGAGTATTTACCACTGGAGATGCCAAAGCTTTGGTGGATACACTTCAAGACATGACAGTCCATGGAAAGTCAATTCCGAAACCTGTCGCTATCAAACGACTATTCTCACAAGAAACATGTAAAGGATTCAATGTAGCACAAGTTGTCAACAGGTTGATATATGAACGAGACAATAGAGGAAACTACACCCGTCTGAATAAACTGAAACTTTTGCTAGAACACTGAAGTAGAATGGTATTCAACAACGGGGAGGTTTAAATTAACGTTTGACCATTTTCTGACAATTTTTTATCGTCCTAGTTTTCCAGTTTCCTGGCATGAATTACAGTTGTGTGATTAAGAACCTAACCCTTTGTTAGAACCCGTAAGTCAAATGATCTCCAGGCATTAAAATTAACTTTTGTTGCATTTGGGCAATTTCAGTCATTATTTTAATTTACATAATCCACCAGAGCCGTGGCAACCGAAGGTTTATTAAAGCTGCAGAATGAAGAAGGCAAGAAGAAGACAGGAAACGTAGACTCTGTGAACGGAAAGACAGAGGTAAAAAGGAATAAATTCACAAACAGCAGTTACTATGATTAGCTAAATGTCATAAATGTGGTCGACTAGGGCATTACAGAAGAGAATGCTCGAAACAGGCAGCACCCAGGGAAAAGCATAACATTATCTAATTTTAATCGCCATTGCAAATTATTACTTCAACAAAAAGGACGGCAAGGAAAGGTATTCTTGGTTTTCACCCACGTGACCTGTAAATTGACCACGTGCGGCGTCCGCCATATTGGTGCCCCTGACATGTAAACAAAGCTGACTCAAAGAGATGCGCGACTGGAGAAGGACCGAGATGTAACAATGGTTATGTGTATTGTTGTAGGCTGTGAGAGCAAAAGCAATACAGCAAAAGGAGTTGGTATGTTTCGTATACCTTCGGTTATTTATAATTAAGGTGAAGAAACGGAGGAACTAACGAGAATGAGGCGCGAGAAGTGGATTTCTTTGATTAGCAGAGACAATGTGAAATACAAGGACATCTTAAAGAGTGAAAGAGTTTGTGGCCGCCACTTCGTGTCTGGGAAACCTTCCCAGCGCTGGGATAAACACAACGTCGATTGGGCTCTGAGTTTAAACCTTGGCAAAAAGAGATACAGAGAAAAAAGCTCCGAGGTGCCAACCGAACGGGCTGAAAGAGCAAAAGCTTGAAGGAAGAGTGCCTTAGAACAACAGCAACTCGAGGCGGCGAAGAAAATGACACTTCTGAATGAAAGCGGTCCACGGGTTGTGGATATAAATTTTTCCAGCGATTCAGCAAGTACCTTGGGAGATGTTGAAGCGATGGAACTTGCGCATGAAGATGCTCCAGTTGTTTGTGCTAACGAAGCAGAACAACAAGAAGAAAGTATGGCAACTGGTGTAGAAACACAAACAGAAGCATTCGATTATTTATATCGAAAAACTGTCGGATGTGAAGCGCCCGACAAGGACGCTGAAACCCAAACAGAGGCATTCGATTATTTANGATGGAACTTGCGCATGAAGATGCTCCAGTTGTTTGTGCTAACGAAGCAGAACAACAAGAAGAAAGTATGGCAACTGGTGTAGAAACACAAACAGAAGCATTCGATTATTTATATCGAAAAACTGTCGGATGTGAAGCGCCCGACAAGGACGCTGAAACCCAAACAGAGGCATTCGATTATTTATATCGAGAAACTGGCTGTTTAGAAGCGCCCGACAAGGACGCTGAAACCCAGACAAAAGAATTTGACTATCTTGTCCTAAAAGTAGCGGCTATCAAGCACCAGACAGGGAATTCTTTAAAGGTTACGAGAAGGTGTGTTTTTACACAGGTCTGCCTTCATACGAAGTACTCTTGGTGACATTTGAA